TTGTTTCATTTGTTTGTTATCTTTCTTTTTTTTTTTTTTATTTTAGAATAAAAAAAAAAATTTAAGCGAAATTTTATAAATTTTTATAAAAAAAAAAAAAAAAAAAAATGGTAGTACTGTAATATAATATTAGTATTCAAACTATTTTAAAATAATGAAAAAAAAGAGAGAGAGGAAAAAACTCATAAAAAAAAAAAAAAAAAAAAATTAAATCATCAATATAGTTTAAATTCGAAAAAATATCTTAGCAGTGTAAATTATAATATTTTTTTTATTCAGACAATGAGCAGCAAATTAGAAAGCTCCGTGCATGGCAACTTTTAAAAGTTGAAAAGGTTTTAGTAGGATATCAAAAAAAAAAAAATAAATAAAAATAATAATTTTGAAAATTTAAGTCCACCCAAAAATCATTTTATATATTTTTTGTTTAAAATATTGAACCTGTGACGCAATAGGTGACGAAAATCGTTTGAAAAAAAAAATTAAAATTTATTTAAATTAAAAAAAAATACGAATACACCAAATCAACCATTTAAAATAAAATGAAAAATTATGAAAAGTATCTTAAAAGAAAAAAACTTAAAAAAAAAAAAATGGTTCGAGAAAAGAAAGCGTTTTTGTTTTTTATTTTTAATTTTTTTTTTAAAATTTATGTTTTTATCCATTATTATTTCATGTTTTTTTTTTAGGTTTGTGGTTTTATGGTGTTATATTTTGCTAAACCAAAACACATATACGAATTATTATGGGTCAGTTTTTTTTTTTTTTTAAAACCAAAATTCAAATCTAATCACCAATGTATAGATATCATAATTTTTTTCGCATACCAAACTCGATTTTTTGACCTTTTGGTTCAATGATATCGTTTGTTATTTTAAACAACGGTTATTTTTTTTTTTTCCCATACAACCAATGAAAATGACCAGGTTTTTGTTAACATAAAAAGAAATAAACATAAAAAAAAAAATAGATCTATTAATTAATGGCTATAAAAATTAATTTATTTATTAGCTTTTTTAAAAGTTTATTCGTTTACAACAAAAATAAAGCAGTTTTTATCGAAACAATTGATTTGTAGTTTTTCAGGGAATCTATATAAAAAGAATGGGATTAGTATAAAATAATAGGTTTATTTTTTAAAAAAAAAAAAAAAAACAATTACCCAATTGCTTCATTATAGTCAACAATTCCATCATTATGGTTGTATTTGAAAAAAATTTTTCCATGGGTTATAACTGAACCAGTACTATCTTTTAATGAAATTTGGCAGTCAACAAACTCATCCTCTAAAAATAATATTTTGTATTAGTATTAAATTTAAAAAAGATATGGAAAATATTTTGTATACAAACTTTTACCATGAAGAGTGTGAATAATAAGGGGAGCTAAAAATTAAAAAATATTGTAAGTAAATAAATAACAAAATAAATGATTTAAAAAAAATATTAGTATTTACCATAGTCATTACCAGATTGATAGGTTTGTATATCGCATTCTAATGGAGTAATTGATAGGGAGTATTGTTTCTTTGAGGATTGAAGTTTAATATTTGCAAAAAAAGTATTTTTTTCTATTTCCTTTACTTTAAATTTGAATTGATTTTCTGGGAGGATATTGCAGGAGTTTGGATTAAATACAAGATATTTTCCTTTTGAAAGGTCATCATCATCTCTTGGATTAAAATTATTATCAGTCCAAACCAATAAAATGGTATCCTTTGAAACAAAGCATCTTTTATAATGTGTTTTTTCGTTGGTTTTGCTTGTATCTGTAAAAATGGTTAGTGCAGAATCTTCATTATTGTCATTTGGATAAAGAGTTGCATAAATCATTTCATCTTTTTTATTAAAACCTAAATTTTCACTATTATTATTATTGGTTGCCATTGTGGACATTTTATTATTTTTTTAAATTTTACAAGAACAAAAAATAAATAATAAACAATAAATTTTTAAATAATTTAAATATTATATGAAATAAAAAATGAATAGTAATAATTTGAAAAAATAAAAAAATAAATTAAAAATTAAATTTAATTTGAAAAAATAAAAAGAATATTTATGAAATTCATTGTGGGGGAAGTAAATAATTAAAAAAAAAAAAAAAAAAAAAAAAAATTTTCCCCAATTTATTGCTATTTTGTATGATTAGCTCTCACTTAGTTTATTTATAAATAAAAGAAAGAAATAACCAAATATAAAATTCTTTTGATTTATCTTTTAAAAAACACAAAAATAAAAAAAAATAAAAAAAAATAAAATTATTTTTTTAAAATTTTTTTAAAATTTTTTTTTTTTTAAAAAATATGTTAAATTGTGTTTTTAATAACTATCTAAAATAATTTTTCATTGTTATAAAACCTTATATAAATATATTGTTTAAAATGAGCGATACAAATAATAATAATAATAACATACCAGCCAATACCAATAATACCAATAATAATAATGTATCAGATACATTTTCACAAAAAGCTGCAAATGATATAGCAACACCAGTTCTTCCAGTACAAGAGGACCTTCAAAAGTCAACTAAAGAAATGTTTACTAAAGTTTCAGATTATATAAAAGGGGAGCTATCAAGTATGTTTCACAGATATATTTCTTTTTATTTAATCCATAAATTAATAACCTTTTATTTTTTTGTTTTCTTAAAATATAGCTACTGTTGCCGATTACAATTTATTAATTCAAATGAATAATATAACAACATCCAAATATCAAGATATGACAAATATAACTAAAGGTCTTTCAGTTTATATGGGTGATTTAAAATTAAAATGTAAATATTATATTAATCATACTAAATTCAAATTATAATAATAATGGTAGAATAATGAAATTAATAAAACTAATAAAACAAATTTTCATAAATTTAAATCAGATGAAGAATTTCAGCCATATTTTGAAAAAATTAATGAATTAGATAAAAATGTGACCGAATTAGAAAAAACTGTACAATTATTAGACGAATACACAAAAAGATTAGAACAAAAAGTTAAAAATATTGATAAAAGTGCTTTACTTCCAGTTAAACCAACACAACCACAACCAACACAACCAGTTCAACAACCAGTCCAACAACCAGTCCAACAACCAACACAACCAGTTCAACAACCAGCCCAACCAAATACTAATCCAGAAACAAACTAATATTTATTTCTTAAACCAAAATAAAATGAAAAATAAAAAAATTAAATAATAATAACCCCCTTTGTAAAAATATTTCTCTTTAAAATATTTAATCTAGTTTTTTTATAAATAGTTTCTTTTTATTTTAATTAATTTTTCTTTTATATTACAAATCTAAAGATTTTTAAAATTTATTTGAGGGTGATGCTTGATCGTTCTTTGGCATTGTAATTTGCATTTCAAAAATATCTAAATCTAATTTATCTTCTTCGGTACTCTTTTTGATTGAAAATGAAACATCATTTATGCTTACTTGCCAATATTTCTGTAATAATATCAAAAGGTTTTGATGGGGGATTCATTATATAGTGTATTAATATATTGAACCAAAATATATTTGTCTTTGTAAAGATATGTTATTTTATATTATAGTACATACAGCAACAACTTCTAAAACTTCACTTTTTATTTTACTTATATTATCGTCTTTAATACTTCTTGCTCCTCTTTGTTCCTTTAAAAAAATTTGCATTCTTTGAGATGCTACATTGGCAGATAATTGTGATTCTTTAACTTTAAAAATATTGGCAAGTTGTTTTAAATTGAAAATTTTTGACATTTTTTTTTTATTATTAGAAAATGAATAAATAAATTAGTTTTATAAATGATTAACTCTCAAAAATTGGTGGTAAAAATTAAAAAAAAAAAATTAGTAAAAAAATTTAATGAAAAAAAAAAAAAAAAAAGATTTTTATTTTTTTATTTTTTAAAATAATTGTGATGTTTGTATAATTTGATAATTATTGCAAAAGGTTTTATTTTTTTTATTTTATTTATTTTATTTTTCGCTATTAATTTCTAATCTAACAAGAATATCAGTAATTACATCACTATGTGGATTGTCAGTGAGTGCAACTTGAGCAAGTATGGTTTCATATGGTAAAAGTATTGATATATTGTAGGATTCTTTTGAAAGACGTGATAATAATGTTGCTGCTCTTTTTGAAACTTCAGCATTTTCTCCTGCTGGTTTATGTGTTAATAAATTAATTAGATGTCTAACTAAGCCTGGATAGTGACAAATTGTGATTCTAATTTTATTTAAAAAAAAAAACGTTAATATACCATATTAATTTTGATGCATTTGTAAAACTATATATTGCTTACTTTAGTTTTTGAGAAGCCTTTGCTAATGATAATAAAATTTGAAGGCAAATTAATTGAATTGATTGATTGGTATGACCTAATAGTTCAACAAGTCTACTGATAAGATTTGGTTTTTTATTAAATATTTCTTTTGGATCTTTAATGATTAATTCGATTTGTTGTGGGATTTGTGGGGTTGTTGGTTCATTGGGTGATGCTATAGAGTCTAAGTTTTCATTATTTGTGGGGGTTGTGGTGAAGGGTGTTGGTTGAACTGGAATTATAAATTGATCATAAATTGGTTTTAAAAGATTTTCGTCGAGAGGTAAACGATTTCTTTTTGCTTTACAAAGATATTCGATAGTTTCTATACATGCTAAAAGTTCATCATCGTCATCGAAACAATATATTGACATCTCTAAGAGGGAAAATAGTTTTTTGGTTAAAAATGATGCTGGGAGACTCTTTAATAAACTGAATGATAATTCGCCAAATGATAATTCTTTAAGTTGATTTTTTATAAAAATACCTTCATTATTTAGTTCTAATAAAGTTGTTGAACCAGTGTTGCTATTTTCTGGGAATGTTGATGGACTGGAGACTATAGGTGTTGTGGTGGAGGAGTTTTGTAATGATGATTGAAGTGAATACGCTAAAGCGGATGGTTGTAATGAAAGGTGTTGTACTATTTTTGAGAAAATTTCAATAATATATCTTGAGGTGCTTGGGTTTAAGGTATTGATAGTTGATGGTACACAATTGCTTTTGGTTGTTTTGAATGGATTAAATTCAGAGTCAAACGAATTTTGTTTTACTGAAATACTCTTTCTTAATGATAAATATGCAGTGCCAATCTCTAACAATAATAAAACAACAGTAGGATTATTTGCTAAATATTGATCATTTGGTTTTAAAAGGGTTGAGTTTCTAATAATTGATATAACCTTTGATATTTTTGACATATCTTTATTAAATATTAGTTTATATTTTTCTTCATTGTTATTTTCATTTTCGTTATTATTTATCTTTTTAAAGTATATGATTGTATTTAATAGTGAGTCTAAAATGGTTGGTGTTGGATAAACTGATTCGCTAAAATCTTTTTCAATGCTAAATGAAAACAATAGTTTCTCTTGATATGACTTTGTTAATAATGAGTTTAATGCAAATTCTAAATTTTTTTCATCTTTTGATAACAAATAATCTATTAATCTTGAAAAATATGATTGATTTTCTATTCTTTTGTTTAATCTATCTGAAAAAAATGGTACTTCTGTTCTTTTTATATCTAATGATAATTATTGGGTTAATAAAAGTTTTTATTTATTTTATAAACATTATACATACATGCAGTATTACTATTCATATAAGGATGATATGTCATAGGGTTCATTTTTTGGTAATTTGCAAAATAAAATTAGATTTAATTTTAAAAATATTTAAAAATAAATTTAAAAAAATTTAAAAAAATGAAATAGTAAAAAAAAAAAAAATAAAAAATGAAAAAATTTTTAAAAAAAATTCAAAAAAATAAAAAAAAAATAAAAATTTAACAGCTTTTTTTTTTTTTTTATATAAGTATTTTAAAATACTTCATTTTCCATTTTCACTCAAACCACCAATTTTAAAATGAAAATTAGATACATTTTATTTAAATAAAATAATTTATTTGGTTTTTTTATTGTTTTTTTTTTTTTGAAATATGTACAAAAATAATTTATATTATAATAATAAATGATAATATTATAACACAATTATAATAATTTGGAAGATAGGAAACTTTCTTTGGTTGTTGTTTGTCAATGATTATAAATACTAATTATATTAGTTATAAAATTTTCTTTCCAACAGTCATTAGGGAAAAAAAATCATCTTTATCCACAGCACCATCATCATTTTGGTCGGCATATTGTATCATTTCTCTAAGTTCTTTATCGGTACATTCTTCACCCAAATTAATTGCAACAGATTTTAAATCTTCAAATGTTATTTTACCGGAATCATCTTTATCAAATAATTTAAATGCTTGTTCTAGAGTTGATAGTCTATCTCTTTTTGGCTAAATAAATAAATAAAATAAAATAAAATAATTAATGTATTAATAGTTAATAGTTTATAAATATGTTTCCAATAGCAATTACAATAATAATAGCAATATTTATAAATGTAATAGTTAGAATTTAATATGGTAATGATAATAAATTAGTAAATTTATAAATAAAGTTTTTTTTTTTAAAAATTAAAGATTATTTAACATTACAATTAAAGGTGAAACTAATTCTAAAAATGTGTTATATGTAATTGACTTTTGATTATTCTTTACAATATTTTTTGTGGGTTCTTCGATACCTAGTGCTCTAAATGCATATTTGATTTGATCTATATCGATTTTGCCTTCGTTATTCTTAAATAGTTCAAATGCTTCCGAGATTTCGGTAATTTGGTCATCTGTTAGTTTTTTGTCATTTGCCTTTACCATTTTTGAATATTTAAATATATACAGTTAATTGTTTTGTATGTGCAAAATAAATGAATTATAATAAAATAGTAACAATAATAATTACAAGAAAAAAAAAAAATAATAATAATTTTTAATTTTTTTAATATTTTTTTATTTTTTTTTTTATTTTTTAAATTTTTTTAAAATTTTTTTTTTTCCAAACGAATGATAAATAATTCTTTAAAAATCATAAATTAAAATCTTTATATAAATAGAAATGTCAGAAGTTATTGATACCACAACCAAAGTTGATGATTCAACAGAAAACAATAACAATATAACCAACAATGAAAATCCAGAAAACAATGATAATAAAAAAAGACAATTTGTAAATAAAAAAGAAAGAAAACAAAATAAAAAAATAAAATCCAATCAAAATAATCAAAATAAAGAAAGAAAACCACAAAATAAAGATAATGAAAATCAAGATGTTAACGATTATGATGAAAAGAAAGTTATTTTCAGAGGCAAATTTAAATCATGGAAAAAACACAGTAGATTATTTGCAACTGACGAAAAAGTTAAAGGTCTTTTAATTTGTTGCGACAGCACAAGAGAGGCCCACAGTATTGGTGAAATTTTACCAATTCTTAATAATGTAATTATATTTTCAATTATTGTTTTATTTTCTTCAATGTTTTTACTAAATTTTTTTATTTTTTTTTTAGTTTGCAGATAAATATTTCCCAAAAGAAAATACAGACCAAAACTCAACTAAAGTTAATTCATACTATGATACAAAAGAACAAAATTTAGAAGGTACAACAGAGAATAGCGGCACAGAAATTAAAAAGAGAAAGAGATTTGAATTAATTAATTCAGGTTGTAGTGGTATCTATTTCATTAGCATGACTGTTGAATCAGTTAGTCCAATCGATTTTATGAATTGTATGTTTATTGATACCATTAAACTCCAATTAATTAAAAAGAAGTTACCATATGATCATTTAGACGAGATCATTAACAATTTCCCAGAATCAACTAAAAAAATGTTAGAAAATGCTGACCAATCCATTAAAATTAATGAAAGAGCAATTAAAAAGGTGTAAGTACTCAAATAAATAGTTATTATTCTTATACCTAATATTAATTTTATTTTTTTATAAATATTTTAGTACATTTACAAGTAAAGTTCAACCAATTTTACAAACTTGTTGTTCAGTCGATTTAAATGATATGATGAAAGGAATTATTGAAAATACAATTAACAAAGATAAACCAAAATCTTTTGCAATCGAAATTAGAAGCAGAAATAATATTCATTTTGATAAACATCAAGCTATCAAAGATATTGCCGCAATGGTAGATCCATCAATTAAAGTTAACCTTAAGTTCCCAGACACTCTTATCCTCATCGAGGTTGTTAAATCATCTGCTGTAGCTTCAGTTATTCCACAATATAGAAATTTATTTAAATTAAATCTTAGAGAATTGGTCAGATTCGGAAATAGTGCCAATAAAAAAGTTGAAGAACCAGAATCAAAAGTAGAAGAACCAAAAGTAGAAGAATCAAAAGTCGAAGCATAAAAAAAGAAAAGAATAATAAAGAAATATGCAACAATAAATAAATATACAATAAACAAAATACACTAATACGAATTAGTTGTATTTTTTTATTTATTATTTAATTTAGTTAGACTATTAATGATTCTTTTTCATTGCTATTATAAATAATTGGTTGTTGTTGTTGTTGTTTTTGTTTTTTTTCCTTTTTGAATACTATTTTTAAACCCTTGTCGAAATTATCCAAAGATTTAGCACTATAAATAATTACCAAAGTTCTGATTAAAATTGAAATGGAGCAAAATAATAGCAGTGGGAATGCATCGAGAATACCTTCTATATTAATGATTAAGGCATATGAAGTCGAAGCTATTTTCCAAATGTCGTAGGCTAGCTGTATCCATGAAGTTAAAAGAAAGGTTTTAATTAACTTTTTGTTTTCTTCTTTAATCGATTTATATCCAACATATGACCAGACTATATTAATAAAAAACAGTATTATTATTATTATAAATTCTAAAATAAACTCCATAAAATAGAATATAGCATTGATGAATACTATTCCACATAAAAATATATCCATTTTAATTAGAGATAAAAATATTTGATAGTTTTTATATAATTCTATATTTAAAAAATATAATAATTAGTAAATATAATTTATTAACATTGTAGATGGTGCTTTGAGTTTTAACTTACTTCTTAATTCGATACTAGTGCCAATTTTTCTATATAGCTTCCACCCAAATCTTTGATATGATAATATCCCCAAAACAATATTTAAAGGTATGAAAACTATGAATGATATAAATCTAATATAATTTACAATATCTCTGTTTCTATTCCAAATATGAAAGAATTGATATACTCCTCCCAATGAAATTGTGGACATTACTAAAATAAATGAAAATAATTGAAATTTATTTTCATTCCAAATCTTTTAAAAATTCATCAAATTAGTATCATTTTTTTAAATTTTAAAATTTACGTTTATTTATACTTACAGAATCGAATGAATAGTAAAATAAAAATAATGATGTTAATAAACCAATCATTGAAATTTTAACATTTTCATCAAACCCATTCCATGAAGTAAGTCTAACTACAAACATTGAAAACCCAAATACCAATTCTAAAAAAACACAAATTAAAAATACTTTTCCTATAGTGGGAATATCAAAAAATTGATTTTTCTTTTTCTTTATAATTTTATATTTTAAAATTTTAAAATCTTTTTTAAAAATACATAATATTATGAATTATTACTTACTCTGGGGAAAGCATCAAAGAAAAGTTCATCATCTTTTATAACCTCATTCGTAATACTATTATCAATACCATTGATACTATATAAGCTGTTGTAATAGCCGCTATTTTGATTATTATATATATGATTGGTATAGTTATTTTCATTATTTACATTGTTATATGATGATGGTACATATGGTTTTGGTACCGATAAATTGAGTGGTACTATAACAGAAGATGAAGATAAATAATATTCATTTCTATTACTGTCATCTAAAAAATTATTATTATTATTATTTTTATTATTATTATTATTATTATTATTATTATTATTATTATTATTGTAGTTGTTGTTGTTATCAGAAGTAATCATTATTGATTTTAATATGGGACTATTAAAATTATAATTGTTAAATATTTTAGATTCTATCCTATAGGTTTTTTTCAATTATTTTATTAAAAGAATGTTATTAGAAATAAAGAAATATTATTATTGTAATGTGAAAGTTTTATTATAATAAGAATAAATAATTTATAAAAAATTAAATAAATATGAAAGAAACAGTTGTAATTTTAATTTGTTAAATTATAAAAAATTAAACAAAAAAAAAAAAAAAAAAAAAAAAAAAAAAAATTTAAATAGTTGTGATATTATTAATATTATTATAGTATTTTTATGAAAAAAATTTAATAATCATAAAAAAAATAATTATTAAATATTATTAAACATGTTTAATTTAATAATTTAATTTTTATTCTTTTATAAAATTAATTTTAAAAAAAACAAAATTAATTTAAATTTAAAAATTTAAAATTATTTACAGATAATATAATAAAAATAAAATATACTTACATTGTTGAATTATACAATGACATTAGAGTAAATAAAGAATAATTAATTTAAATAGTAATAATATTTAAAATTATAGATTATATATTTAAATTTAAAAAAAAAATGGGTGTGGGTGTATTTAAGAGGGTTTTTAGAAAAATAATAAAATAAAAGTTTATAAAATATTTAAAATCAAAAATATATTAAAAAATAAATTTATATAAAATAAAGTATATATTTACTCTTTTTTTTTGAATCTGAAATTTTCTTTTTCTTTTTCTTTTAAAAAATTATATAAAAGGTCTAATGTTTTTATTTAAATTAAAATTGTTTTTTTTTATTTTTATTTTTAAATTTTATATTTTTTTAATAATTGTAATTATAATATGAAAACTTAATATATAAAATTGAAAAAAATAAATTAAAAAAGAAAAATGATTATATTTAATTTTGTTAAATATTATGAAATTTGCATTGGAGGTTATTTAGTTTAATAAACAAATGATATGATGTGGTGGCACCACAACTAAAAATTTTAAAAGGGTTAAATATGATTATTGGTGGGTGAGTGGTTGGGGATACCACCATAACTTTTTTTTTTTGTGTGGTAAATTACATCTCATAGATTTCTAAAACATGTAATAATTAATAAAAATAGAAAAATAAATAAATATTGGGAATACCAGGATTTTAAAAATCACATTTCTTTTTTTGTTTTTCTTTTATTATTAATATTATTAGTATGGTTACATAGTATTAATAATTTTATTGGTATATTTTATTGAATGTATACTTTTATTTAGTTTCATCATTTATTGGTTTATCGGTATTATTATTATTGTTATTATTATCATTATTATTATTACTATCTATATTTTCATTATATTTATTTTTAACTATTACATTTGAATCACCAACCCATTTTTTTTTTGCAACTAATTCTGTTTTTGAACTTTGTCTAACCAATGTATCAATCATAAGTTGTAGTGATGATACTAACTTGTCGCAAACTTCGTCTGATTCACCTAATGATTTCATTGAAATAATAGTAGCCTCAAGTGTTGAAATTCTATCAACTTGAGGTTGACTTCTTAATGAATTAAACATTGATTTAAATTTCAAGTCACCAAATTCTAAATGGATCTAAAAAAAAAAACATATATTAATATATGTAAAAAAATATATTATAATTATTGTTTATTTTTATTAACTTACTCTGGTAATATCTTCCGGTATTCTTTTATTAATAGATTTAGCCTGTCTCCATGTGCCATCTGCAATAATAATTGTAAGTTTTTCTAATTTTTCGACATCATCTTTTTTACTAAAATTAATATTTCTAATAGTTTCTGTAATGGTTGTAATATCGTTGTTTAAACTTTCATCCTGTTCTTGTGTTTGTTCTTCATTTTCCTCTATTTCATAATTGTTGTTATTTCCACAAACTTGATCACTATTTACATTTTTATTATCCAAATTAATTGACTTTGATTTTAATACATCTTTAATATTTACACTATTTTGCGAGGGAAATAAAACAAAAGTTGAATCTCTTGAGCATTTTGCAATTCTTTTGAAAAATAATTCTTCATCATTTCTTTCGCCAATAATAAAGATTTTAGAATTGGTACCGATATTATCATTTTCGCAATTATTTAACTTTTCATTATTATAAATTGTATTTTCAAATGAGTTATTTTGTTGTTGTTGATTCTCTTCTAATTTTTCAAAATTACTTTTATCTGAAATTAATACAACTTTTCCAGTATTACTTGCTTTGGTCCATTCGTTGGGATGAAAACAAAATATATATTCGTGCTTTAACTCAATCTTGTTTTTAATTTGTGGGCAAATACAATTTACATTTAATAACCAACATGTTGTGCATTTGTTGTCATGTACTAAATAGTTTAGCTTTCTTTCTCTTACACCATCATTAATTGCAGCATATAACATCTTGTTGCTTTCTTTATCTTTACTTTTTCTAATTTCCTCAAAACTTTTAATTCTTTCTAAATTTTCTTGAAATCTTTCTTTTTTAACTAGAGTTTTATGACTTGGTGGTTTACCATTTTTTCTTTGATTTTTATTAATTGGTTTTTCTTGGTCTGGTGAGCTTGTAGTTAATGGTGACAATGATTGGTTATTATTGATATCATTATTATTAGTATTGTCAGTATTTACTTCCATTATTTTTAAAAAATTATTGAATGTTGCTTTAAAAGAAAAATATCTTCTATTTAGCATTCAAAGAAAAAAAATAAAAAAACAATAGATAATAATAGATAAATATGAAAATGTTTATTTTTAATTAAAAATTAATAAAATAAAAATCAAAAAAAAAAAAAAAAAAAAAAAAAAAAGAAATTTTTCGTTTTTTTTTTTTTTTTATTTTTATTTTAATTATTTTTTATTTTTATTTTTTATTTTAATTTTAACAATATTATTATTCTTTGTATATTAATAGATATATTATAAAATGAATCACATCAAAAGAAATAAACCAAATGTTTTAATTACTGGTACACCAGGCACTGGTAAATCATCATTAGCAAGTGTTGTTGCCCAAAATCACGAATTTCAACATTTTGATATTAGTACATTAGTTAAAGAAAAAGAATTACACGATGGTTGGGATTCAGAATTTCAATGCTATTATTTAGATGAAGATAAAGTTTTAGATTATTTAGAAGATACAATGGTTAAAGGTGGTTGTATTGTTGATCATCATAGTAGTGAATGGTTCCCAGAAAGATGGTTTGATTTAGTTGTAGTTTTAAGATCCGATGTTAAAATTTTACACGAAAGATACGAAAAAAGGTAGGTTAATTTTAATAATAAATAAATAGGTGAATATAATTATATATATATATTAATATATTCATAATTTTTTTATAACAGAGGTTATATTCCAATTAAAATTGAAAATAATATTGATTGCGAAATTATGGAAATTATTTTAGAAGAGGCTCGTAACTCATATAAAGAAGAAATTATTGTTGTTTTACCATCAAATACTTTAGAAGATAATGAATCAAATCAATCAACCATTGCTGATTGGATCCAAAATTGGTTAGAAAAAAATAACTAAAAAAAGAAAAAATAAATAAATAAATAAAAAAAAAAAAAAAGAATTTAAATTTCTTTTATTTATGTAAATATATTGGTATAAAGTGTTTGTACAATTATTTTATAGTATTTATTATCTATTATTTATTTTTTTTATTTGGAATATTTATGAATCATTTCATCTTCGTATGCTTTTCCATTTGGATCAAAATTAATTAAAGATTTGGTAATATTTGGTAAATCTAGACCTAAAGCTTGAGAGATGAATGATGCGATTTCAATATTGTTGACATTACCCATTAACATTGTATCTTTATAATTATCGGTGGTATATAATTCATCCTTCTTTTCACGTTCTTCAAATTTCTCTGGTGAAATTTTATCGCCATAGGTATAAAGGTTGACATCAACACCAGAGTGACCACCGGTAGTGAAACCAACATGAGCATAGTTTGAAACAATACGACCAATTTGTTGATTAATAGCTCTAAATCTATTACTATCTGTATCTCTATATTGAAGGAAACTTAATATCTTTTCTTCTTCTTCTGGTTTGATGGTGATACCTGTATATTGATGGATAACTTGGGTAACATTAACATCTTTGGTTGCATTGGTGGTGATTATTCTTGCCATTTCATCGGCTGATTTGGTAACTTGAAGTAATGTTTCTGGAGACCAACTGTACATTGGATGACCATCAATTTCTTCTTGATATGCTAATGTAAGACCACCAGTTTCATGATCTGCTGTAACGATAACAATGGTATTGCCATCCTTCTCTGCCCATTCTCTAACGAGTTCGAATGTATTATCAAACTCTCTGGTTTCGTATATTTGGGTTGGAGCATCATTTATATGAGCAGCAACATCAATTTTGGAACCCTCAACCATTAAAATAAAACCGTGCTCGTTGTTTTGGTTGATAAGATCAAGTGCTTTTTTAGTCATTTCTGATAATGATGGAACGTTTTTCTTTAAGATTGGATCATTTAAACGATCGATTTCCCATGGGATGTTGTAATCTGCAAATAGACCCATAATTTTGCCACTTGCGACATTGTTCATTTGTTCTGTTGTATTGACAAAAGTGTAGTTGTATGATTGAATCTTATCAAAGTTGTCACCAAAATACATTTTTCCACCACCTAAAACAACGTCCAAGTCCTTCTCCAACAATTGGTTGATGATGAAATATTCATAATTACGGTTAACAGAATGAGAGAAATAGCAAGCTGGTGTTGCATCAGAAATACGAGTTGTAACAACGACACCAGTTTTCATTTGCTTTAATTTTGCAGCCTCAAAAAGTGTACCAGCAGGCTTATTTAAATGATCAACACCAACAACATCATTTGTAGTTTTAATACCACTTGCATAGGCAGTAGCAGCAGCAGCACTATCTGTAACATCGTTTGAATGTGAATATGTTCTAACAGTACCAACTAAATATGGATCTAAAAATAATGATTTTTCTTCTGTGAAATCTTTGCTAAATGAAATTCTTGCCATTGTCAATGATGCTGGTCCCATACCATCACCAACCATCATAATAATATTTGTTTTTTTAATTGGTGGTTCCCATCCTCTTGGTAATAAAAATGCAATTAATAATACTACTGTTGCTATAATTGCCAATGATATTAATAAATAAAATATTCTTTTATGAACTGAGGTAAATCTTTGTTTTTTTCTAAATAATTTATAAAGTTTTATAAGTAAATATTTTTTTGGATTGGGTTTATTTAAAAAGGAGAATATGATAGTTTACGTAAAATCTTCTTCAAGTAAAAAATGTGACATTCCATTATTTGGTGGTGTTAAACTTGTACCATTATTTGCATTGTTTGCTCTATTAGCACCATTATTATTTGGAATTGGTATAGCTGTTTCCTGTTGCTGTTGTTGATGATGATCCATAATTATTGTATCTTTAAAAGAATATTTTAAAGATATTTAGATTTTTTTTTTTAATTATAATAATATATATATAATAAATATCTATTTACTATGTTATTTATTATTTACTATTAACTATATTATTATTGTTTAAAGTTTTAAAAAAAAAAAACTTCTTTGATTCGAATTATTGATATTAAAAAAAGGAAATAAAAAAAAGATAACAAAAAAAGGTTTTTAAAAAATGTTTGAATTAATTAAAAATTTAAAAAAATAAAATAAAAAAAAAAATTTTAAAAAAAAAGAATTAATTATACTGGGTGGGGTAGGGGTAATTGTTATGTTTAATATGGCGTTGTGAGTTGTAATATTATATAATTAATTTTACTGGTATGTAATATTATAATACAAAAAATAAAATTATTGACACCTTTTCATAAAAATTTATTCTATTATTATTTCCTTCCTATATTATTACTATTAAAAAAAGAAAACAAAAATAATAAACTATTTTATTATAAATTATATTTTAAAAAATAAAAAAAGAAAAAATTAATTATTATAAGTTGCGTTATAAATTTTTAAAAAATGAAAAATAAAATAAAAAAAAAAAAATATTTTTTTAAAATTTTTTTTTAATATTTTTAATAAATTTACTAATTTATTTATTTGGTATAAGAAGAAGATTTAAATTTAAATCCAAATTAAAAATTAAACAATTTTTACAATAACTAAATCACTTTGTGCTATAAATACAAAGTTTTAATCTTAGTTTTGTGTTGTGTGGTTCATTTTTATTTTTTTTATTTTTTTTTTTAGTCCAAAATTTAAACATTCATTACCAATTTTACTTTTTTTGAAAAAATTAAAAGTATGCAGTTTATTATTATTTAATTTATTTTCCAAATTTTAATTGTTATTTTCAGTTTTTGGTATATCATATCTAGATATAATATAAATAATAGTAATAATAGTAAAATCTATATTTTCAAAATGTACTCTATCATCACAAGAAATATTAGAAATATTACACCAATTTCCAAAAATAGATTAAAATCATCATTATTCATTAATTCAACTAGAGTTACTATTCAAATTAGAGCCTATTCAAACCAAACATCAAATATTACTTTATCAGCTTCAATGTTTGTTTCTTTATAATTTTGATTAAATTTCATTATCATTGGTAATTAGCAACAATATAGATCATTTTTATCAAGTTCACAATCATTAATAAATTAATAATAAATAATAGCCATATAATCATATAATAATAATAATATAATAAATAAATATAATCAGTAATAACAATGATTTATGATTTATGATAATGAAAATATACACACAAGGAAAGGATCTGCATATATTAATTTTTTTTTTTTTTTTTTTTTTTTTTTAATTAAATTAATTTTTTTTTTTTGTATTTTTTATAAATTAAAATTTTTTTTTTTTTTAATTTTTTTTTTAAAACACAACCCATAAAATGGAAAACAGTAATAATAATAATTTATCAGAAGAAGAAATTAAATATAGAGACGAAACTATCAAGGTTTATAAAGATCTTCTTTCAATCCCAACAGTTTCAAATGTATTCTTCACCACACCAGATGAAAATGGCAAGGAATTAACTACAGCATCAATTATTTTATCACAAATTGATATTGTTAATAAAAAATCAAAGAGTTATATGTCACAAAAAACAGTTTTAAATGATAGTAATAAAGTTGTTTCATCTGCCATTCAACAAGAGTTAGTTACTCCAATGGTATCTATTTCCCCATCAAAAAAGAAATTACTTACAATCAAAGATAATTCATCAGGTGATACTTTTGATTATTCATTTGACTTGAGTGATAATACTCATTTAGTTACATCAATTACTTCACGTGACGTTCACAAAAAAATTTTAAATGATGGTATGTGATTTTAAATTAATATATTATTACAATTCGATATACTAATACTAATAATTTTTTATTTTTTTTATTTTTAATTAAAAATAATAATACATTAATATTCAGAATGGTTTGGTCAATTTTCATGGTCACCATGTGAAAACTATGTTGCCTTTATTGCAGATTCTAAATTAAATATTACCGGATATTTCGACAAAGAGCCAAAGGATAAAGAAATTGGTAAACAATTTGTTTATAGAGATGATTGGGGTGAAACTTATCAACCAGTAGCAAATCCATCTATTTTTATTTTAGATATTGCCAAAGAACAAGTTTTTCCAGTTGAACCATTCCCAATTGATAAGGTATCTGCTGGTCAAGTAATTTGGACTCCATGTGGAAAAGGTTTAGTTTATGTTGGCTGGGAGTTTGGTGATAGAAAGCTTGGTATCAGAGCATGCTTTAACAGAATGAGTTCTTTATTCTTTTTAAATTTCTCAGAATTCATGGCCAACAAAGAGGAATTGAAGGAACAACAAAAGAAAGATCCAAAAGCAAAATTAACAAAGCCATTAACTATTGTTGATTTAATTCCAAATGGAAATAATGGATGTTATCGTTCACCTCGTTTCACACCAGATGGTAAACACTTGGTATTCCTTGGTTTTGACGAAAGAGTTTATCCCCATAATACTTGTTCAAAGATTTTTAAATTCACATGGAATTGTGACTCAATTAATAAACCAGATCAATTAGCAGGTCCAGTTCAAACTCTTTTGGATTACAAGAATTACAGTGATGATTTCCCAGGTATTTTTGGTCATGGTTTCCAACAAAATGCATTTATAAACGAAAATACTCTTCTTTTTGCCTCACCATTTAGATCAACACAAAAGATTATTTCATTCAATATTGATACCAAGGAATTAAATGTATTAGAATTGGACAGTAACAAAAAAGAAAATCCAAAACTTTATAACCTCTTTGATATTGACTACAAGAACAAGAGATTATTAATTACTGAAAGTGCAAATAATGAACCAACCTCAGTTTCAATAGCCTCATTAAAGGATAAAACTAAGGGTGCCACTCAAGATAACATTGACATTGTTAAAATTTACTCCCCAAAACCATCAGAATCATCTAAAAAGATTTTAGCATCATTCGATACTACCATTCATAAAGTCCCTGTAAGTACTCCATCACCAGCACCATACGAGGCCGTAAAAGAATTTGAACTTCTCTACATAAAAAACAAAGAAAAAGAATCCCGTGGTTTATTAGCATTCATTCATGGTGGTCCACATGGAAATATGGATGCAGAATATCTTACCACTATCACTTATCTTGTATCTCTTGGTTATAACATCATCCTTCCAAACTACAGAGGTTCCACTGCCTATGGTAAAGATTTCAACGATGTTTTACCAGGCCACATTGGTGATATGGACTATGAAGATTGTGTTCAATCAATAGTTTACACTATCGAAAAGATTGATACATCAATTGATAAAAACAAAATTGGTGTTATTGGTGGTAGTCATGGTGGTTTCTTATCAGCTCATCTTAGTAGACACCCATTGGTTAAAACTGCTATTATGAGAAATCCTGTTATTGATATTCCATCAATGTCAACTCTTTCTGATATTCCAGATTGGTGTTTCTTTGAAGCTGGTATCAATCTTTCAGACCCAACTGCTCAGTACCATACTTTGCCATCATTAGAAGAGCTTGAAAAGATGAGAAAATGTTCACCATCTTATCACATCTCAAAAGTTAAAATCCCATCACTCTTATGCCTCGGGGAAAAGGATTTACGCGTCCCACCAAGCCAAGGTCTTTTATACTATCGTATGCTTAAAGAAGCTAAAGTCGAAACTAAATGCCTTTGGTATCCAGGTACTGGTCATTCATTAGACTCAATTGATGCCAGATTAGATCAATGGATAAATATTTCTCTTTGGTTAAAAAAATATTTAAATAATTAATTATATATTTAAACCAAATTAAAATTTAAATAAAAAACATTACACTAGTTAAATTAAATAAAACAAATAAAGATGTATTTATACAGAATTTACAAAATTTATTTTTATTAGATTATGTTGCTTTTTCTTTTTTTAATTTTAATTCATTTAAACATTTTGGACATTCACAATTAAAACCATAGTTTTCAAATAGTTGTGATCTTCTGTCAATAATATCTTTTGATGTATCTGCATATGATATTGTAATCTCTTCACCCGGGTTTATTGGCTTCAAAAGTCTAATCTCTGCGGTGTGGTCATTTGGAAATTGAACATAGGCATTTGGGTCGCAACTATGATTAATGAAAGATGTCAAAAAATATAAACCTATACTTGATTCAGGTGTCGACATTTTGGTTGTTGTTTGATTTGGATCGATATCAATACCAATAGTATTTAAATAAAGAATTTGCATAACCTTAACAAACCAATCATAGTTAAATTTCTTTAAGCTCGATTCTTTCATTCCTTTTAATAAAGATCTTGAAAATATTAAATAGTCATCCTTCCATTCCAAAGGTGCAGGTTTATTTGCAAATGTTAACATTTGCAATGGAAACCAGGTTTTATTTGCAGACTTTTCTAAATGATATCCCATTAAAACTCTTGCTAAAATTTTACCTGCCAATAATGGAAATCTTCTTTTTTCTATTTGAGAATGTTTTTCTAAATAATGAAAACCTGAACCATTTGATTTACACAGAACGCTATGATATTGTAGTGATGCTTTTTCTTTGCATTCATTCGAGCAATATTTAACATTACATCCTTCACACTCTGTATGATTATTATTATTATTATTACTATTATTATTTTCTAAAGATTTTAAACAATGATTACAAATTTTATCATGATCTAATTTTATAATTGATGGGTAGCTTATAAATGGTTCCTCTTTAAATAAAATATTTGGTTTATTTGTTTCTTTATTTATTACAGGTAGTTGAGTGTTTTGTGTATAAAATAAACCTCTACCTTTTTTATCAGATTCTTTAATTTCAACAAGTTTATTATTATTTAATATAAATTTATATAGATCATTTATAACAACATTGTTGAGTTTGTTATTTGTGCAAAAAGTTCTTTTTATTAATTGATTAAACATTTTATTTATTATAATGCATATGAAAAATAAAAAATAAAAAAAAATCATTTTTTAATTTTTTTTTTCAATTTTTTTTTCAATTTTTTTTTTTAATTTTTTTAATTTTATTTTTATATTTATTAATCATTTTCAACGCACAAAGTATTTATGGCTAAGCAATAAAATTTTCAGTAAAGCTTTCTTCTCTAAGGGTTCTTTTTACTCTAGCAAATATTAATTCAATTGGGTTCAGTTCAGCTTGAACTATGGTAACAACTTGATCAATTTGACCTGCTAAAGTAAACAATATTGTCAATTATTTCAAAATAAACCAAACAAAAGAAGTAATTCTCAAAAATAATAATGAAATCAAAACACTTAAAACAGTATACAAGAAAAAGAAGATAATATTTTAAAAATTAGCCAATTTTTAAAATATTTTCTTCTTTTTCTTGTATACTGTTTTTAAGTGTTTTGATTCAGAGGAAGAAGAGGCAGAGAAAGAGGTGGATTTACTGTTAGGAGGGATCAAATGACTTGGTACCAATATGTAATTGGCAAATAATAAATAATAAATAAAATAAATGTAATTTACCTATTATTTTTATATTTAAACCAATTTTTATATTTATAGTTTATTTTATCAACAACTATTGCACTTATAGTGAACTTTTTTTATTTTTTATATAATTTTTTTTATTATTCGTTTCTGGTACAATTTGGGTTATTATTATAATAATTTAAAATATCTGATCTGTGGTTATGATTGGCGGCTATTTTAATTAATTCTTTTGAAGCATTGATACAATTGTTGATTTGAAAAAATAAATCAATTTCGATAAACGAAAATAATTCTTTTAAGAAATTTAAAACAATTGTGTTTCTAATTTCTATTGCATTTAAATCTGTTTGGTTTGTTGGCTCTAAAGTAAATTTCTCCATATTTTTTAAAATAATGTTATATTCATTTACCTCTAGTAAATATTTTATGTTGCTTAAAGTTTCGTTAAAAAGGAAATTGTAACTTAAAACACCTTGATTGTTTTGATTATTTTGATAAATGAAGACCATTAATACTTCTTTTATATTGAAAAATAATTCTTCAAAGCTACAGGCCATTATTTTTTCAAATGTAAAAGTTTCTAAATTATAATTGTTTTCAGCCCCATTTGTCGTTATATTATTTACTATATTTAAATTAGAGTAAAAATATTTGAATAGTTTGGGTGATTTTAAATAGATATAGTATAGTACATGATAAATTTCCAAATTGGTTTGAATTTGATTTTCTCTGAATAGTAAGTGGACCATTTCAACTTGCTTTAATGTTATATCTTTGATTCTTATGATTATCTTATAAAGGTAATTTAAAACAGCTTCTAAAAACAAACTTCGAGACTCTTGATTTTTTACTTTAGATAATAAAAATTCCATAAAGTTGTATATTGTATTGAAGTTTAAATTGGTATTTGGTTCAATTGTATAAATATTTTTCCTATAGACAATAAATATGGTTTGGAATTGTTGCTCGTTATCCAAGTTGTTATCTTGATTAAATGTGTTACCATTTATAACATAGTTTGTTTTATCTAGTATTTGTTTAATAAACTCGAATTCTGAATATATTAACGAAAAATATATTATCTGACTGATACCTCTTTGAAATCTATTAAAGTCCATTTCAACTTGTAAAATTATAGATTTATCGAACTGATTTGAAAGCATTAAATAAATGTTATAAAAATGATTTTGGTAATAAGCTGGATTATTATTTATATGATTTAAAATTGAAATTGCCTCTTCTTTTGATTTTTTAAAGTTTGTTTTATAAAATAAACCTCTGTATCCATTTAGCTGAACACCTATTTTTTGCTCCACGAACTTTAATGTTTCGATATCAACATTTAATACTGAGTATTCAAATAAAAACGGTACAAGCTGTAAAAATAATTGATCGAGTTGTGGTGTTATAAGTTGAACAAAATTATCTAAAAAATATTTCATTGTATCTTTGGTATCGATTGAATATAATAAAGGATATATAAATGTTTGAAATGTTGAATGTATTGATTGGTTATTGTCGGTTAAAATAACTTCTTTCCATTTTCCCACTATAAAGTCTATGTATTCCGTTTTTTCTTTTTCATTACTGAATGATATTTTAATTTTTAATCCACTATTTGACTGCTCTGATAAAAGTTCATTTTCGACCTGGTTAATAAATAGTTTATATTTATTAAATGAAAATTCTTCATATGTTTCAAACTTTAGATTAAATAATTGGTTCTTGAATTTATCTATTTCTAACAAAGACTCCAATACATATATATCACAATTTAATAAAATATTTTTGACGATTATTTTTTCGTTTGGAACCCTGAATGTTTCTTGGTGGTAATACAAATTCATAAATTTCAAAACTCTATCTTGATCATTCCTTAATACTATTTGGTCCAAAGCATTGCTATTATATTCGTTGAAAATACATTCTGATCTTGAATATTGTTCTAAAAGATACTCTAAACCCTCGACTGAAAAAGAAGTGAAGCTATAGAAATAAAGCGATGGTATATAGCAAATTCCTTTTATACTTTTGTTTTTTAAAAGAAAATGGTAAAAAAATGATTTCATTTCATTTGAATACTGACTTGGATGTAGTTTTTTTTGAATTTCTTCTAAAAGAATTAAAGTTAATTGGTATACTGAATCTTGATCTTTTTTATTTGCTTGAATTTCATCAATTTTTAATTGGGCTTGAAGTGGAATTTCTCTTAAATTGCATGCTAACTTGAAAAATGCTCTAATATAAAACAATAAATCTTGCTCTGTTTTAATTAACCCAAAATTACTATTTTTTATAAAATAGATGAAAAAACTTGAAACTTCATTTTTTTCTACAAGATTGAAATCTAACAGTATAGATTTAACTTTAAGAGATTTAATTGAGAAGAAACTTGTAAAATCTAACTTTTCCTTATCATCTAAGGCCTGGCCATAGTCATGGAGTAAGGTTTCATTTTTGGAGATGAAAAATTCTATCATTTCTAATTGAATATATTTATTTCTGAAAAGTTTTAACCAATACTTTTGATTACCAACACTTGTTTGTTTGAAAAGTATATTTAAAGCATCGATGTTTCCGAAATGAATAGCTCTTTCAACAGATTTACTTGAAGCAGGATAACCTTGATCCAAAAAAACTTGGAATGCCACCATGTTACTATTTTCTAGAGACAATGAAACAAGGTCTAATTCGATAGGAATAAAATCCTTCTTTTTTTCTAAAAACAGTTGAATAATTTCTCTATTTTTACAATGGTATATAAACTCCACAATCGAATCTTTATCTATCTTTAAAAACTGATTTGATATTAATTTATCTTTTAAAATTGACCATTCTTTATTATCATTTTTATTAAAAAATTTTAAATTTGAAATATGTTTAAATTTAATTTTATTTCCTAAATAATATTGTGATAAATCTTTATAATCTATTATTATATCCTCAATTGAAAAAATTATTTTTTTAAAAAGAAATTTATTGTGAAACACCTTCCAAAATATATGTTCATTTAAATTATTAAATAAATC